GGTGATATGATTTGCATTTTTCTTCTTAGGGTTTAGTAAAGGCCGTTGCGCTTTGCTATGAGACGATGTTGAGCCGCTTTTGAATGCCAGAGCCTTCAAAGAAGATCTTCTCTCGTTAGGCTTTAGTCCATCATGTATCTTGGTTCTTGACCAATATGCTCATAGGGAAGATCTGGCTCGAAAAAGGTGTACACGTCTTCATCCTGTAGTGAAAATGAAACAAACGCTTGAATAAAATGTTCTCCATTTTCCAAAGTTTGAAGTTAAAGCCTATAAGCACTTTTTCCCATACCAGAAAAATATAATAAATCGACAAAAAAAAAAAAAAAAAAAAAAAAGAGGGTTCGACCGTTCGAGTCTTGAAATGACTCAAATAATTGGGGTTCGGAGACGAGAAAATTCATGACGTGTGGAACAAGAAAGTTACCTTCCCAAGAAAATGTCCAATACACAGCACATAATCAATGGGGGGATGTCATGGATTTACTGTGAATTATCTCTCCCAATATACGGTCAATTGCTGCACCCTGAACCAAAACAGATCATTTTCAGAAACGAAAAAAAAAAACAAACAAATCATCTGTTGTATGAAAAATATATGCAACAGGCAAAAAAGAATTCATATATTCACCTTTGTCAGACCAACTGCTTGAACCTCAACAGACCGGCTACCTTCAACAACATCAACGGAGGCATTAGAAATCGGGCCAGTCCAGAGATGCTGCAGCATATCTCTGGCTTGAAGTCTTCCAAAATCAACATCTACAATATGATAAGGTGGAAAAGAAACAGAAAAAAGTAGGCATTAGATTAACAAAAATTTCACTTGTTTTTCTGGTTAGATGGTTGGAAAAGAAACTAGTACCTACATATTTATAATTCCACACAAGGGAAGTTTCAATTAGTTCAAAATGTGATCGCGGGATTCTTTCTGTGAAATACACAAAAACTTGCTGAAACAATAACATCCGTATTGTAAGTATGAAGGAACGATGAAACAACTAAAAGGAATATAACTTGAATTCAAGACTCAAATGCACCTTCACACTGCCGATCCATTCCATATTCAAATGTTCAGGCATTGTTGTCATCGATTCTCCCTTTGTAAGGCGTAAAAACATCCTGTTTTCAGCTGCCAACCACGTATCAAGCTCCCCAAAGTTCTGTAAAAACACCCTAATTAGAAAAGGGATAAGGTAAGGGTACTAAAGAATTTAGATCTGGAAATGGGTGAATTACATCATCTAAGACATTTCTGTCACTCCCACTGAGGACGACAGTAGTTGTTGTTGGATCATTGTGGAGTGCTGACAAGGTTTCTTTCAAGTCAGGGTGCTGTGAATTTTGGAAGGTGGTAATTGCACCGATTCTCATTAAAAAGATTCTCTGTACAATACTACTATATGTAGCCATATGTTTACAATCAATTCATACTAACTAGCTACTAATTGACAGCTTCTAATACAAGATAGGAATGTAATCAATTACAATATATTAATCCTTGATATCGTTGATGGACTCATAATATTGGCAAGTATCTTGATGATGATCCTTGACTTTCTCAACACTCCCCCTCAAGTTGGTCAGTGAATGTTGCGAACTCCCAACTTGCCTAGCAAAGAACGAAATCTTTCCTTCCCAAGCTTTAGTGAACAAATCAGCAAGTTGTGAAATGGAAGGAACAAATCCCGTCACAATTTTTCCTTCCATAATTTTATCTCGAACAAAGTGACAATCAATCTCAATGTGCCTTGTTTGCTCGTGAAACACCGGATTTGCCACAATATGAAGAGCGGCTTGATTGTCGCATAACAAGGTAGGCGGCCCTTGGTCTTGAATTTGAAGATCTCGAAAAAGGCTTTGGAGCCATGCAAGCTCACAACATGCGCTGCCATGGATCTATATTCAGCTTCAGTAGAAGATAAGGATACAGTTTTCTGTCGTTTGCTTTTCCATGAAATAAGGCTATTTCCAAGGAAAACACAATAACCAGTAGTTGAACACCGAGTGGTAGGACATCTTGCCCAATCGGAATCACAATATGCCCTTAACTTCAATGAATTTTGAGAGGGAAACATCATGCCTTGCTCTGGTGTGCCTTCCAAATACTTCAAGATGCATAAGGCAGCTTCATAATGAAACTTTTGAGGTGATTGCATGAATCTACTCAATAAATGAAGTGAATATGTAATATCCGGTCGGGTTATAGTGATTGCAGGAAATTAACATAGAGGAAAGGGGGATTGCAGGAAATTAAAGAGTAAGGGAAAGAGGCAACTGTTGTGCCTTGGCCCGTTTATCAGTGCGGAAACGAGATTCAGATTACAACCTCACCAAAAATCACACTCAGTTGAAGAGAATAAAATACAAGAAATAAAGACACCGAGAAATTTACGAGGTTCGGCAAAAACCTGCCTACGTCCCCGAAAAGATATTGCTCTTCACTATGAGAATAACAGTACAAGTACACATGAGTTAAATCAACATAACCCAATCCCAAATCCCTTGCACACCCACTCATAGAATTTTTCCAAGAGCCTCACTCTACCCCAAGAGTTCTTTCACTAGAATATTTTTCACTCTAGCTCTCTTGATTTTCTCTCACCCGTGCCCATGCTTTCCCATGGGAGAGCTGAATGCTCTCCCCCTTTGGATGCTCTCTGATGCCTTCTCAGGAGAGAGCCGAATTCTCTCTCTCTCCCCCTAACTCGGCAAGCCTTCTCAATATAAGGCAAAGCCATCATCATTAAGGCCAAGCCCTCATCATTGTGTCTTGCATCATCATTAAAGCAAAAAACAAACATCATCATTATGTCTTTACTCATGATGATGTCCACCAAACTTTTGCTTTTACTTTGCAGCACTTGTCTGCAACTTCCAAGCAACCCACACCATGTGATATTTCCACCGAAAGCAAACACAGGTCACTTCATTGTTGTTAACACATGACTCATAATTACTCACAAATGCATGAGCCAAACACAACAGCAACTCTGTTCATTCATTCATCCACAAGGCTGCTGCTTACATGCTTATATTCAACTTAAAAGGAAATCCATCTTGAATTGTGTAGCATCCCTTTGCGACGCTGGAGAGATTGAAATTCGTGTGCTCCAGCTTTCTGGCAACTCTTGACGGCCCCAGTGAGAAAGGATGGAGTCGAGTTTTTTATTTTTCTTTTTTTTATTTAAATTAAAAATTAAATTTTAATCCACATGTCATCAAAATATTGGAGTGGGGGGCTCACAAGGTGCCACGTAAGCACACTAATAGATTTTTATAACAAAATTCAAACATAATGATGACATTAATTTGCCCTACTTATTTTCAGGGACGACATTTATTGATTTTCAAATTCAGGGACCATGTTGATGGATTAGGTCAATTTCAGGAACTAATTTTGATAAAAACCCAAAACATTTTGATACTCTCAATTAGGCCTGGCAAACGGGTCGTGTCTGTCGTGTTCGTGTCGTTTTCGTGTAACATGAAAACACATTAAAACACATTTGTCATTTAAGTATTATATCTACACTTGAAAATAAGAGTCTAATAAAAAAATAATACATACACTACTAATCTATTACAAATATTAAATGTGCAAGGATATGCAAATGAAAGAGTTTTTGTTTTCAAGGTTGTGAAGTTTTTCTCAAAAGTTTTCAATGGTCATCAATTTTTTAAATTTAATTTAATATATATATATATATATAATTATTATAGTTTTTAGGGGTATTAAATTGTTAAATTAATATATATAATTATTATGGGAATTGTTATTAGCACTCCAAAAATATCATTCTACACTCCAAACTTTCTATATTGGGAAAGAAAAATACACTTGTGAGGAGTGTAGAATGAGATTTTTGGAGTGTCAATAACACTTCTCATTATTATAGTTTATTCATACTTTTATTAAGTATAACATAAGATTTTGTGGTATCCACTAGTGTAAATATTTTAAATTGAAGATCGAATTTATTCATTGTATTCATATAGGGTCAAGGAGTGTAGCTATAAAAAATCATCAAAATCGAAGTTAAAATAACCATTAAATCGTGATTTTTTGTTTTATAACCATCGAAAAGTTTTGTCCCGTTACTTGATCTCTGAATATTTGCTTTTTGTAATTTTTGGCGTATGCGATCTCGAAGTATATACAAACATGTTCGACGGTTGGATCGTTGAAACTAGTTTCGTAGAATGCGTATCTCATCAAAACAATGAATTCACTAACACTTAAAAGTTTATTCATACTTTCATTAAGTATAACATAATATTTTGTGGTATCCATTAGTGTAAATATTTTAAATTGAAGATCGAATTCAATCATTGTATTCATAGAGGGTCAAGGAGTGTAGCTTTAAAAAATCATCAAAATTGGAGTTAAAATAACCGTTAAATCGTGATTTTTCGTTTATAACCGTCGAAAGGTTTTGTCCCGTTACTTGATCTTGAATGTTTGTTTTTTGCAATTTTTTGCGTATGCGATCTCGAAGTATACAAACAAGTTTGACGGTTGGATTGTTGAAATTAGTTTCGTAGGATGCGTATCCCATCAAAACGGTATATTCACTAACACTTAGAGTTTATTTATACTTTCATTTAACATAAGATTTTGTGGTATCCACTATTGTAAATATTTTAAATTGAAGATCAAATTCATTCATTGTATTCATATAGGATTAAGGAGTGTAGCATAAAAAATAATCAAAATCGGAGTTAAAATAACCATTAAATCGTTTTATAACCATCAAAATGTTTTGTTCGGTTACTTGATATCTGAATGTTTGTTTTTTGCGATTTTTTGCTGATACGATCTCGAAGCATATACAAACAAGTTTGATGATTGGATCGTTGAAATTAGTTTCGTATAATTCATATCTCATCAAGTTCAATGGTATATACATATATATATATATATATATATATATATATATATATACAGTGGCGAAGCCAGGAATTGACGGGGGGAGGGGCGAAGTTAAAAGAGTGTAAGGTTCAAAAGAATAGCAACAACCAAATCATTTTATATAGTAATGTCTTCCATAATTTATCAACATAAACAAATTACAATTGTTGCCGACGACGTTTCATACCATGAAAACGTCGCATAATAGGCTCATTATCAATAAAAGCAAATACATCTCTCTCTATGTAAACAAGCATGCTATCACTCAACCATTGATCTCCCATTTTGTTACGCAATGGTGTTTTCACAATCTTCATAGCAGAAAAAACTCTCTCCACCGAAGCGGTTGCAACCGGTAACACCAAAGCTAATGTAAGAAGCTTATACACTAATATGTAGCTTGCACACCGCCCAGTCTTCACCAACTCCTTTGCAAGATCACCAATTCCTCTCAATGATGAAAACTCACTATGCATCTTCATATCGTGAATGTAATTGTCAAGTTGAATTGGAAGATTCATGAGGTCTATACGATCAAAATCTTGAGGATAAAGTTGAGCTAGACGAACAATTTTTGCTTTGTCAAAAGATGCAAAATTATTCACCGGACTCAAACATGCCATACAAAGAAGCAACTCGGTGTTTACCTCATTGAAGCGATCATTCAATTCCTTTAATTGTGTATCAAGGACTTGAAAATAGAGGTCCACACGATAGTAATGGAAGTTTGTGAGTCTTGGAGCTTTACGCCTTGATTTTCCAGGTACAAAAATGCAAATCCTCCATGTTAGGAACGACAATATCATGCTCTTGACAAAACTTTTGTACATCATCAAGCAAGTCCCCAAAGTCATCATCTCTCAAGGATTGTAGTCTTTGCTTGCATACTTCCACTAACGCCATTGCATTCACAATATCTTGATCTTTCTTTTGTAATGCTTGTGATAACTCATTTGTAACTCCCAATATGAGTCTCATAAAAAAAAGGTGAAACACAAAATCAAAAGTTTGTATGTTATGGAATAAATGACTTGTTTCACCAAAATTGTCATGGTTCGTATCATCTTTAATCCATTCAAGCACCTCCACCACGGCTTCAAACATGACAATAATACTAACTATACCATAATGTGAGTTCCAACGTGTATCACAAGGACGCATGAGACTATTCTCTTTAATCCATTCATTATGCTTGGAAAGAAAATGCATAAGCTCCAAATAATTACCTCTATTGCTTGATTTCAACGATTCATCGTGACCACGAAAAGGCAAACCTTGTCCCAACAACCATCTTGTGCACTCAAGTGAGGCTCTCAATAAAGTATGATAATTATTGCGAGCTTCATCGGTTTGCTTAATCACAAATGTTTCAATGTATTATTTTTGTGTCATCAAATCTCTAGCTTGTTGTACAGCTTTATTATGAAGACTTCCAACACCTCCCTCATGGGCTCGAAGATTTTCGGGTCCTTTCCTCCAATTTGTAAACCCTTTCTCGGTGAAGACATCATTTCCAGTGCTACCCATTTGATCGAAATCACATTTGAAAAGATAGCAATAACGACAAAATGCAGCATCCTTTGATATACTATACTCCAACCACTTAAACCTATCAAACCAACCGGTGATAAAACATCTTTTGTTGCTAACTTTTCTTGGCATAATGTGGTCTCTAGGTTGACAAGGATCATTTTGGAGATAGTGTCTACGAATTGCTTCACGATAATTAGGTGGATAATCAAGCATTCGACGTCTATATCCAGGGTCTGCATGAAGATTAGCCAATATCTCATCCAACTCAGTGGGCTCACTTTGTTGTGAACTACTCAGAATATTCAAAGGAGGACTTCTTATATTTGAAGGAGGAGGAGGATGACTACTTGGAATATTTGAAGGAGAAGGACTACCCGAAATGTTTGAAGGAGGATTTAAGCATTGTTTCTTATAGTACCGTTCCATTACGTAACTGTAAAATGGAAAGAAAAAAAAATCTTAGACTCTTAATCCTATAGTCTATACTAATATGCATAATAACCCAACCAACAATTCAATTAATCAATACCAATAAGCATATAAATTATTAAATAAATAAAAAATTCATTCAACTAATCATATGAATACAACTAATCAAAAATTCAAATTTTAATTTTCACCCTAAAAAATAATTTCATAATTTCATATCAATCAATAATCATAGAATCATATCAATAATCAATAATCAATAACCATATTAGTGCATTACCATATCATTCTATACTAATTAAACAAAATTCGTATTAAATAATTAATTAGGGTTAGGGATTATAAATTTAGGAATTAAAAAATTTACCTTTGAAATTGAAGGCTAGAAGTCGGCTTAGCGGCTGGAGTGGCTAGTGTTAGCAGCAAAAAGCCAACAGAAATCAGCCAATGAGGATTTATTTTCCGTTCCGTTGGGGTTGGGCGTTGGTTGCAGGCTCAGGTTGCTGAGATTTTGGGAGAAGCTTTGCACTCTCTCTCTGATTGGGAAGGCAGAAATTTGGAATGGTAAAACAGCTTTAAAGCATGCGGGCTGCCTAAAGTGAAGGAATGAGGGACATGCGGTCCCCCCAATACATTATACATATATATTTTTTTGGTTTTTTTCTGAAAGTTTCACGTGGGCACTAATTTGAAAGACATGGAGGGCTAACTTTGGGACATGTGGGCCAGATTTTAAATTTTTTATTAATTTAAAAGAAAAAAAAAGAACCAGTTTTGCTGCTACACGCCAGTTCACCGGTGCCAAAACAGAGATGGAGGGGCTGGGTTTTCCGGTGAGGGGAGGGGCGAAACCTCGGCTTCAGCTGTGTTTTCCGGCGAGGGGAGGGGCGGTCGCCACTCCTCGTCCTCACGTGGCTTCGCCACTGTATATATATATATATATATATATATATATATATTTATATATATATTTATATATTTATTATGTTGATTTAAATCTATTTATTTTGTACATATAATTGACCGGTACATGGAGTAGTACATCACGTGTCATTATAAAAATAGTGGGATATGTGTGATAAAAAGTTAATAACTTAAAAAATAAAATTTCTCACCACTTCTATTAAAACACATGGTGTAATTTGTGTTCCCGTTACAATGAAAAATTTCTCAAGAAAAAAAAGGAGAGAGAGGTAAATGACGTACACGTGCCATGAACATAGCTGTCGAATCTTATCCTATCAATAACAATTAACAAGTGCACACTTGAGAATTGAGATGAGAGAACCACAATGGAGAAACCCACCCTACTACTAATAGCAAGCAAAATACCACTAGGTCCCATCTTTCCCTCTCTTTTTTTGTTTCCTTTTCTTATAATTTTCATTTTTCCCTCCCTTTTTCTTCAAAGGGCGGATGCATCATCATGCGTATTAATTAGGGAACTTTAATGAAAATGGCTTGAACTAAGTTTATTTTAACAAAAAACCATGCTATAAACTTTATTTAATGAAAAAGAATTAAATTTTAATGAAAACCCTTAAATTTTAATAAAAATGACAAAAAAAACTTAATTTTTAACGAAAATGACACAATTTAAAAAAAATAAACAAAAAACCTGACGCGCGCACAGTACATGTACACTGTTTATGAAACTGAACACTGTTTATAAAACTGAACACTATTTATGAAACTACACTATTTATGAAACTGAACGATACTATACTATTTATTGGTTCAATTTCACAAATAGTGTCTAGTTTTTTGTCCACTTTCATAAAATGATGTCTAGTTCTTGATCATGTTTCATAAATAATGCCTAGTTATTGAGTCCAGTTTCATAACTAATGTATACTAATTGGTACAATTTCATTAATAGTGTCTCTTTCTTGGTCCGGTTTCATAAATAGTGTCTAGTTATTGGTCCACTTTCATAAATAGTGCCTATTTATTGGTCATAATTCATAAATATTGTCTAGTTCTTACTCCAGTTTCATAAATAGTGTATAGTCCAGTGTTCAAATTATGCCTAATTCTTGTTTTTATTTCATAAATAGTGTCTACTTATTGATCCAGTTTCATAAATAATGTCTACTTATTGGTCTAATTTCATTAATAGTGTCTACTTATTGGTGAAGTTTTATAAATAGTGTTTAATTCTTGGTTCAATTTCATAAGGTTTGAAACTTGGACCCTTATTGGTCAAGTTTTATAAATAATGTTTAATTCTCAGTAATTATATTTAAAAAGCTGTTTTCAATTACCAAATTAAAATTTCCTCACTTTTTTCATATACCTACAATAATAAATGTAGCTTTCCATCCAATTTCTTGAGCTTAGGTGTCATCTTCGAGAAATTTTTCTTTGTGCCTGTAACACAAATGATATACCACATGTTATTATATAAGTGTGGTGGAAAATTTTATTTTTTATGTTATTAATTTTTTAACACAAGATTCTCACAACTTGTATGGAGTGTATCATCCCGTGTTCTGGGCACATTGAAAAGTTTTCCATCATCGTAACTACCATTATAAAACAACACTACAAAAATAAAACAGGAGAATGTAATTCAATTCGAAGTTTTTTTTTTAATTCTATGCAAAACAAAAAAAAAATCTATTAATGTAGCTGAATGATGGGACAAAAGGTAGGAGAAAAAAAGTGGCCCGGGGGGGTACACGCCCAGCGCTAGTGGGTTTGTGTTATGTTTTTTTTTTTTTAGTCTTTTGTCCTTATTATTAAAATAAAGTTAGTGGGTGATTTTTTATTAAAATGTAAAGATTTGAAACCATTTTTATTAGTTTTCCTTATTAATTATTATAGTTTTTACTCCCATCTTTCCCTCTTTTTTGTTTCCTTTTCTTATAATTTTCATTTTTCCCTCCCTTTTTCTTCAAATGGTGGAACGGTGGATGCATATTAATTAATAATTATTATAGTTTTTAGGGGTATAAAATTTAATATATATATATATATATATATATATAATTATTATAGTTAATATTTTGGGGTTATAAATATTATAATTATTATAGTTAATTTAATATATATATTTATTATAGTTTTTAAGGGTATAAAATAGTTAAATTAATATATATAATTATTATAGTATTTTTTAGGGTTATAAAATTATTAAATTAATATTCTGCATATCGTGTATCGTGTTACCCACGTGTATACCCGAACCAACCCGTTATCTTAACAGGTGTTTATCGGGTTACCCGATTCGTTATCGTGTCGACCCGAACACCTGTTAATTTCGTATCGTGTTATGACGGGTTATCGGGTCGTATCAAAAATTGTCAAATCTACTCTCAATGTATGCCACTGCCAATCACTAAGAACCATGTTAAACTATTTTGGTTTACCTATGACAGACATAGCAAAGATAGTGTTGTGCTTCAAGAATTAAACGCATGATACTCAAGCACGCATACCTTACAAAAGTTTCGGCCCATTCCTGTGCAGTGTGGGTTGTCACGTGTAAAAAGTCATGCTTATGTCGCTTCTCTCTTTCTTCGGAGGCCATATTCAATGCTTGAGCAATTGAATTGGAAACTTCTGTGATGTTCCACCGGTTCAATAGAATTGCTCCAGCACCTAAAGATTTGGGGGGCACTTGGTGCGATGGCAAGTGCCTTCGCCCATGAACGGTAGGTCTCGGGTTCGAGACTTGGGAGCAGCCTCTCCATAAATGGAGGTAAGGCTAGCCGACATTCACCTCTCCCCGACCCTGCGTAAAGTGGGAACCTTGTGCACTGGGTACGACCTAAAGACTGGGGGGGGTTGGGCACGAGGAAGCACAGAAGGAACAGGAAGTGTTAAAACAAGAAAAAGGCCGAGGTAAAAAGATTACGTCGAGTTTACATTCCAGCAAATTTACAATACTAACATTCCAGCAATTAATGATGATTCTGTATGCTTTTTTGAAATTAGATAAACTTTTCGTGTATCAGATCCAACATGACAGCTATAAAAACAGAAGATAAGTTCATCAAATTGTTTGAAATGAGACGTTGAATGAAGATAAAGGATAACAAAACATCAATTTATTAAAAGGTGGAGGTGTAGGCGAGGCGTTTCATGCATAACCCCACCTAAGCGTGAAGCGAAGCCTTACAGGACCTTAAATAATAGGGGACTGCTTTGAGTTACTGAGAAAAATAGGGGAAACAGGGGACTCTTGTGAGTTTTAAAAAATAAAAGAAAAATGGACTTAGCCAAACGACTTTGTTTTGGGCCGTCATTAAAAAAATTAAAAACTTGGCCAAAACGTCATTTTTGGCCATGTCAAAAAAAAAATTGCTCTTCTTCTTCATGGTCGTCTTCCTTGTGAAGACGCTGCACACCCTACAACCCTAAATCCAGATGACAGAGCCTTTGACTTCGATTTACCCAGACGACAGAACCATTCGACTTTGTTTTCGAGTCGCTGATGGATCTGGGAACACCTGCCAACTGCCTTTAGGCACACCTTGACCACACATGGGCGAGTTTTGGCCCACTCCCACTAGGCAAAGGAGTTATCACTCCCGCCCCACCTCCAAAGCCGCCTAGGTGCGACTTAGGGCCGTCTTTTAAAACACTGAAAAAGATAAGACTTTAGACTTCATACTTCCATAGAAAACAAATAGTAACTAATATGAATGGTATGTATAATCATAGTGCACCAGCAGTCCACAAATATGCTGCCCACAACCAGCAATAACCAAGATATTAAAAGTATGACAGTACAGCATCTAACAACGCAGAAAGCAGAACAAAAAGCACCCACACTACAATCAGGACAACCTACGGCATAGCAGCTTTCTCGTAGAAATTGAAAAGAATGGGCAAAGGCAACCATGATACACAAATGAGACCGAAGCCCACAGAGAGGTGGAAAACCCAACCCCTCTCTCATAAATAGCCCAAAGCTTCCAACTTTGTCTCTGAACTTGGAGCCCCAAGAGTTGCAAAGCCAACTATGTTATACGATGACGTTTTTGGGAGGGACTTCGGTCTTAGACTCAGGCTCAACCAGAGCTTTGACAGATGAATACGAAACAACACCATCGCACTAGATGTGATTATGATACTTCAAATGTTAGGAGCAGTATTTTCGACCGTGAGGAAGGATTTTGTCGGGAAATTCCCTGGATTTAAATGGATTCTCACTTCAGACAAGAGATCTAAGAGTCAAAAACCCATACTTCCTATAGAAAATTGAAAGTATCATATACTTTGATAATTTGATCAGTCTAGTCCTAACTGTTAAGAAAGAATATAAATAGAAACCTAACCCAGATTGATGCATTATTCTTCGGATAGAACAGCTTCAATATTAGAATGAACATCGTGCTCCTCCCTAGTGAACTTATCCAATCTTTGTCTTGTTGCAGTATAGATTCCAACCACACTGAAGTTATTATTCGCCACACCAGGTGGTTTAGCAGGACGGTTCTTATTCTTCCACTCCCCGGGACTAGAAACCTAACTTTTTTAACCTTCAAACGACTTTTCTTGTTCTGTCCCCATTGGTGAT